GTTAGTCAGCTGTCACGGGCTGCTTCCTGGGGGTGGAGGCCTGGTCGAGGACCGGGCCGCGGGGACACTAAAAAGCCCCGAAATCAACTCGAGATAACGTCTAGATAACAACAATAAGCTGACTAACTCCTGTGTACCTATTTACTTCCAAGGGTAAAAGAGGAGGCAATAGGCGCTACGAAACGCGCCCAACCAATTCTGTCCCGGCCGGAAATCGAACCCGGAATTCCCGATGGCGAGTGGAGGAGGAACCCGACTGAAGGTGGAGCACAGTAGAGGACCAGCATCAGATGACTAATAGTCCGCCACTCAATAAACTCGAGTGATTCTATAGCCACTTTGTACCGTGTTAAATGCTTCACTTGTCGCCCCTGACGTTGCGTGCAGGTTGTAACTTGGTGAACCAGAGGCTTGGTCGAGGACCGGGCCGCGGGGAAGGCCAAGCCCTGAAATCATGAAGATAACCTCAAGAAGATCCCCCCCCCCCAGCTCACTCTTGGCCAGTCCCCCCCCCCCGCCTCTATTTCTAACATCACAACATGTCAAATAGGAAAAAGTACTTCTTCAGCACAGTAGTAGTACATTTCTACTTACGAAACCTGTACATCATTTCTCAATCATGGCGGCTTTGTATTTATAAGAGTTGATGAGCTCTGAAGCACTACCAGGTTGTTTATAACAACAACAACCTCGGGTTGTGGAGTTTTCAAACTCTTAAGCCTAGTTAATAAATGTATCCCAAGCCGCCGTAACTGATGAAACATGTACAGGCTTCGTAAGTGGACGTGTACATGGTTGATGAATACCGAGGCCAGGACGAGACTGTTGAAGCCTTTACATCACATACACGACAGGTCCGACCCGGGTCTCGTCCTCGTGAAGCCAACACCACCCCCACATTTCGAAGGGGGAGGTGGGGTGGGGGGGGGGGGGTAGAAATAACCTAAGATACTCTATCCCTTTGAGATTTTTTTCCTTGTCTCAAAAAAAAAAAAAAAATAACGTACTTGAACCACCCACATTACAGTAGTTGCTTAGCGGCCTCTGACGATACCACCACACACCCTAAGTCATGCAACACACCACCACCACACACCCTAAGTCATGCAACACACCACCACCACACACCCTAAGTCATGCAACACACCACCACACACCCTAAGTCATGCAACACACCACCACCACACACCCTAAGTCATGCAACACCACCACACACCCTAAGTCATGCAACACACACCACACACACCCTAAGTCATGCAACACACCACCACCACACACCCTAAGTCATGCAACACCACCACACACCCTAAGTCATGCAACACACCACCACCACACACCCTAAGTCATGCAACACACCACCACACACCCTAAGTCATGCAACACACCACCACACACCCTAAGTCATGCAACACACCACCACACCCTAAGTCATGCAACATACCACCACACACCCTAAGTCATGCAACACACCACCACACACCCTAAGTCATGCAACACACCACCACCACACACCCTAAGTCATGCAACACACCACCACACACCCTAAGTCATGCAACACACCACCACACACCCTAAGTCATGCAACACCACCACACCCTAAGTCATGCAACACACCACCACCACACACCCTAAGTCATGCAACACACCACCACCACACACCCTAAGTCATGCAACACACCACCACACACCCTAAGTCATGCAACACACCACCACACACCCTAAGTCATGCAACACACCACCACCACACACCCTAAGTCATGCACCACCACCACACACCCTAAGTCATGCAACACACCACCACCACACACCCTAAGTCATGCAACACACCACCACACACCCTAAGTCTTGCAACACACCACCACACACCCTAAGTCTTGCAACACACCACCACACCCTAAGTCATGCAACACACCACCACACCCTAAGTCATGCAACACACCACCACACCCTAAGTCTTGCAACACACCACCACACACCCTAAGTCTTGCAACACACCACCACACACCCTAAGTCTTGCAACACACCACCACACACCCTTAGGCTTGCAACATACTACCATACCCTTAGGCTTGCAACATACCACCACACACCCTAAGTCATGCAACACACCACCACCACACACCCTAAGTCATGCAACACACCACCACACACCCTAAGTCATGCAACACACCACCACACACCCTAAGTCATGCAACATACCACCACACACCCTAAGTCATGCAACACACCACCACCACACACCCTAAGTCATGCAACACACCACCACACACCCTAAGTCATGCAACACACCACCACACACCCTAAGTCATGCAACACACCACCACACACCCTAAGTCATGCAACATACCACCACCATACCCTAAGTCATGCAACACACCACCACACACCCTAAGTCATGCAACACACCACCACACCCTAAGTCATGCAACACACCACCACACACCCTAAGTCATGCAACATACCACCATACCCTTAGGCTTGCAACACTATCTCACTCATGAGCCAGCCTCGCCACTAATCTGGAAGAAGGGGCCCGGGCTGCTCTTCTCTGTATTAAGTATCAACAAACCATCAGTAGAGCTCTGATGACCACCACTTCTGGTCTCAACTGCTGGGAGAAAACCTCGTCTTGAGATACAGAGAAAGTAGCTTCATACGACTTATTTTACTAAGCTACAAGATCAGTATATTGGTTTTTAGAGCTAACTGAAGGCCATTAGCCCGGTTGGTTATCTTGAGGTTATCTTGAGATGATTTCGGGGCTTTAGTGTCCCCGCGGCCCGGTCCTCGACCAGGCCTCCACCCCCAGGAAGCAGCCCGTGACAGCTGACTAACTCCCAGGTACCTATTTACTGCTAGGTAACAGGGGCATTCAGGGTGAAAGAAACTTTGCCCATTTGTTTCTGCCTGGTGCGGAAATCTAACCCGCGCCACAGAATTACGAGTTCTGCGCGCTATCCACCAGGCTACGAGGCCCCTGGGAGGATTGGGAGGATTGGTACAGTAAACCAAGAAACATTTCTGATCTTCAGCAGGTGGAGAGGAAGCCTGTAGGGGGGAAGGATAAAATGACCTCTAACTGCACTACGGGGAGGTTAAATCTAGCTCTTTATTATAAATGGATGGAGGTGGCTTCCATGACTTCTTCTTCCAGTGCCTTTTACGTTTTGACTAACCCGGCTACTGTAGGAGTATTTCCTTACTGTCTTCGGCTTATCTGGATTCCCAGCTTCGAGCTGTGTCCTCTTGTCCTACTTACTGTCTTGTTAAAGAGGTTGTCCTTGTCCACCATGTATATTCAGTATCTTGTATGATGTGATCACGTCCTCGACGGGAAAAAGGATCAAGGTGTAGGAGAAGGACGATATATAAAAAAGGAGAAACAGGAGGAATTAGAGGAAAGAAGAGAAAGTTACAGGAACAGCAACAAGAAAGGGGAAGAGGAGCCAGGAGGTGGAGGAGGAACAAGTAGTGATAGAGGATACCTGGTTGATGGGGTTCTGGGAGTTCTTCTACTCCCCAAGCCCGGCCTGAGGCCAGGCTTGACTTGTGAGAGTTTGGTCCACCAGGCTGTTGCTTGGAGCGGCCCGCAGGCCCACATACCCACCACAGCCCGGTTGGTCCGGCACTCCTTGGAGGAATAAATCTAGTTTCCTCTTGAAGATGTCCACGGTTGTTCCGGCAATATTTCTTATGCTTGCTGGGAGGACGTTGAACAACCGCGGACCTCTGATGTTTATACAGTGTTCTCTGATTGTGCCTATGGCACCTCTGCTCTTCACTGGTTCTATTCTGCATTTTCTTCCATATCGTTCACTCCAGTACGTTGTTATTTTACTGTGTAGATTTGGTACTTGGCCCTCCAGTATCTTCCATGTGTATATTATTTGATATCTCTCTCGTCTCCTTTCTAGTGAGTACATTTGGAGAGCTTTGAGACGATCCCAATAATTTAGGTGTTTTATTGCGTCTATGCGTGCCGGAGGATGGAGGACGAGGAAGGAGGTCGAGGAGGAGGAGGACCTTTCTCCTTGCTACGAGCTCCGTAACGCTCTAGGAAAGATGGCGTCGCCTCCACCTTTCCGCTTCCGGTGTGGAAACAATGGTGGGCCGGGGCTCCGGTCTCCCGAGGAAGCCGACAAGGACCTGTTTATTATTGCTTGGCCTTTGTTCCGCACCTCATTCCGGCCGCCAGACAATGATACCAGAGAATGATAAGCTCCGAATAAGATACGCTCCGTGGAGCGTCGTCGGCCGCCGCTATTAATGGCGGCTCAAGGGAACAGCCGGTAGTAAATAGACGGAGTGTTGAGTTGTCAGGGAGGACGAACGCTCAAGGCAACGGCTGAAAACACTAACGCCGGCTCAAGGCAACGGCCGAAAACACTAACGCCGGCTCAAGGCAACGGCCGAAAACACTAACGCCGGCTCAAGGCAACGGCCGAAAACACTAACGCAACTCGTTAGCGACGAAGTGGGAGGGAAGGGGTGCTGGGGACAGCGTCAATAAACAGCCGATAATAACCAGGAAGGGTGGTGGAGACGCCAACGAATAGTTTCTTGTTTATGGTAAACAAACTTGAGTAAAACGTTGGAAGATGGTAGTGACGGGATCACCCTGTCCTCACCGCAGTTTTGGCGCCCATCGACCGCAACGTCAGAATTCTGGCGCTTTACACAAATCAAGGGCACGGCGATATATACACCCCCTCAGATTAATGCCCACTGGTCTCGCTAGCCTCGGCTGTACAGGCTCAGACCCTCGTGAGTAGGCAGAGTCATTTAACGTGTGTGTGTACGGCTGGGAGGAGAGCCAGAAGGTGGTGGTTCATCATCTGAGGTGGGCGTTAATGTAACGAAGCTCAGGGAAGAGCCATGAAGATGATGTTGCCAGTGGCACACAACGAGGATGATGGCACAGTCATGTGTGAATAGTTGTTTGGCAACAATATCTAGTCTCGGTCTCGGATTTTGACACTAACCACCATCGTCTCCCTCAGAGCTTGGCACCAACCACCATCGTCTCCCTCAGAGCTTGGCTCCAACCACCATCGCCTCCCTCAGAGCTTGGCTCCAACCACCATCGCCTCCCTCAGAGCTTGGCTCCAACCACCATCGCCTCCCTCAGAGCTTGGCTCCAACCACCATCGCCTCCCTCAGAGCTTGGCTCCAACCACCATCGCCTCCCTCAGAGCTTGGCTCCAACCACCATCGCCTCCCTCAGAGCTTGGCTCCAACCACCATCGCCTCCCTCAGAGCTTGGCTCCAACCACCATCGCCTCCCTCAGAGCTTGGCTCCAACCACCATCGCCTCCCTCAGAGCTTGGCTCCAACCACCATCGCCTCCCTCAGAGCTTGGCTCCAACCACCATCGCCTCCCTCAGAGCTTGGCTCCAACCACCATCGCCTCCCTCAGAGCTTGGCTCCAACCACCATCGCCTCCCTCAGAGCTTGGCTCCAACCACCATCGCCTCCCTCAGAGCTTGGCTCCAACCACCATCGCCTCCCTCAGAGCTTGGCTCCAACCACCATCGCCTCCCTCAGAGCTTGGCTCCAACCACCATCGCCTCCCTCAGAGCTTGGCTCCAACCACCATCGCCTCCCTCAGAGCTTGGCTCCAACCACCATCGCCTCCCTCAGAGCTTGGCTCCAACCACCATCGCCTCCCTCAGAGCTTGGCTCCAACCACCATCGCCTCCCTCAGAGCTTGGCTCCAACCACCATCGCCTCCCTCAGAGCTTGGCTCCAACCACCATCGCCTCCCTCAGAGCTTGGCTCCAACCACCATCGCCTCCCTCAGAGCTTGGCTCCAACCACCATCGCCTCCCTCAGAGCTTGGCTCCAACCACCATCGCCTCCCTCAGAGCTTGGCTCCAACCACCATCGCCTCCCTCAGAGCTTGGCTCCAACCACCATCGCCTCCCTCAGAGCTTGGCTCCAACCACCATCGCCTCCCTCAGAGCTTGGCTCCAACCACCATCGCCTCCCTCAGAGCTTGGCTCCAACCACCATCGCCTCCCTCAGAGCTTGGCTCCAACCACCATCGCCTCCCTCAGAGCTTGGCTCCAACCACCATCGCCTCCCTCAGAGCTTGGCTCCAACCACCATCGCCTCCCTCAGAGCTTGGCTCCAACCACCATCGCCTCCCTCAGAGCTTGGCACCAACCACCATCGTCTCCCTCAGAGCTTGGCACCAACCACCATCGTCTCCCTCAGAGCTTGGCACCAACCACCATCGTCTCCCTCAGTGCTTGGCACCAACCACAATCGTCTCCCTCAGAGCTTGGCACCAACCACCATCGCCTCCCTCAGAGCTTGGCTCCAACCACCATCGTCTCCCTCAGAGATATTGGTGTCATCTCCCTCAACAAATTAAAACCATGAATTTATCTTCAGAATAAATGTATCAGACCTCTCACTTATCCCTCGCATGTAGCGGTGCAACCCGTTCTCGCACTTTCTTCAACCCGTCCTCTTAAAAATAGTCACTTTTGGCCCGTATGCGCGATATGGCTAAATTACAATTTGAAATGAAATCGACTCACAAAAGTGACGTTCTGTTCCGTTTTCTGTTTGAGTCGTCCGGCGTACGCTGAGAGGTTATAAGAGGACACTTTAAATTATCGTTTTTCATAACGTTTTGAAACTTTATGAGAATTTCCTGCCCACCTAACCTATCAGAGGACCCTTAACTTACTGTTGTTGAAAAAAAAAATCCCAAATTTATTTTCATTTTTTTTTCATTTTCAAATTACGTCCAAATTCAGCCATACGGGCAAACGGCCAAAAGTGACGTTCTTTTTAAGAGGACAGGTTGCTTTCTTACAGTCAATATTGACTTATTTAATAAGTGCATATGTGACGTACTAATTTAGTGAATATTTTAGTTTACCTTTAAAAGCTTCATAGAAAACACCGATCTTGCCTAACCTTCTTAGTATGTTAAGATAAGCATCTTATTGCTTCGTAATTACAATTATTACTTAACCTATTATAGGTATAGGTTAAGTAATAATTGTAATTACGAAGCAATAAGATGCTTATCTTAACATACTAAGAAGGTTAGGTAAAGTCGGTGTTTTCTATGAAGCTTTTCAAGGTAAACTAAAAAATTCACAATAAATTAATATGTCACATATGCACGTATTTAATAAGTCAATATTGACTATACGAAAGTGCGAGAACGGGTTGAGCGGTGTCCGATTCCCCTTAAATTAATCCTAAACATAAATCTTGAATACGTTAAAACGAACATTTTATCTTCTCATTCATGCATTCATTCGGAGAGAGGCAGAGCATGAATGTGAAGAAGTATTGGTCTTGCATGTGTCATTTTGCACTTGGTGTATGTCGACCTGTCACATTTCAAGGGACTTCTACACATTTTATCTGATAAATGACGATAGTTGGTGTGTTTCCAGGGATGAAGAGAGGAGGATGGAGAGAGAGAGAGGTGGATGAGGAAGAACAAGGAGGTGGAAGGAGGAGGTAGAGAACAAAGGATAAAACAGGGGGCCCCATCTTCCTGTAGAGTGGCGCAAGGAGCCGAACACAGCAGGGAACTGCGCCTCTTGCAAGGTGTGCCCAGGACACCACAACACTGCAGGTCGTCTTGACTGCAGGTCCTCTTCACGGGAGGTCGTCTTCGCTGGAGGAGTCCACGTCGTAGAGGCTGCCGGCACTGGAGAGATCAACACCATGGTGGTAGTCGCCACTGGCAGAGTCGGCCAAATGGAAAAATACAAAAGCACCCAACATCCACATATACTGGTGCCTACACTGTGCAGTTATGGTCGCCTTAATACCCGATATATATATTTAGACTTTCCTTTAGAAAATACAGAGGGTACAAGACAAATATCTAGCGTCGGGACCCTTTCATGGGGGGGGGGGGGGAAAGACTGAAGTGTCTCAGTCTGCGCTCACAAACTTCCTGTCTTGTAGACTGTAGTGAGACGCGGGACAAGGAGGGATATGGATCGAGGTATTCGAGTGGGTTAGTGACATCAACAAGGAGGAATACAAACAGGCTTCTCAATCTGTCGGAACAAGGAACCCGGAACACACACACAAGACATGATTCTCTCTCTCTCACTCCCTCGAGCGCACAGACACACACACTCATAAGAAAGGAATGGAGTTTCAAGGAGATGGTTATCCCAGGCTGTGAGGGGTTTAGAGACTACATAAGAGGCACCATGACGATGGGAGGACCAATAGTAGTAGTAGCAGTGATATATAACCCACCACCAAACGACAGAATACCCAGGCAGGAGTATGACAAACAACATGGCAGTTAACAATATAACCGAGAGGTCAGTCTCTGCCGCCTGTAGAATTCGATCCCCTGAGCTCATCATGGGGGACTTCTATCACGGAAGGATAGACTGGGAGAACAAGGAACCCCATAGAAAGGAAACATAGAGAGCTAAACTACTGGAGGTGGCAACAAAAAACTTTAAGCTAGCATGTCAGGGAACCCACACGAATGAGGGGAAACGATGAACCAGCGAGAGACTACCTAGTCTTCACTCTGAATGACTCCAACATAAGGGAAATTGACTTCGAGGCCCCAGTAGGAATGAGCGATCACAGTGTACTGACGTTTGAGTATCTGGTCGAAGAAGGGTTAAAGTACTCGAGAAAGGGAACTGAAAACAAAAGGCTAGCATTCCGTAAGGGAATGTGGAAAACTACGAGGAGATACGAAAAATCTTAACTGATATAATATAGGAAACAGAGCTCAGGGGAAAGACGGCCCAAGACATGGTGGACTACATCACACAAGTGTAAGGAGGCAGCAGACAAGTTTATCCCAGTCCAAAATGAAAAAAATGAAATGCAGATGAGAAACCCTTGGCTTAATCAGAGATGTAAGCTAGCTAAGCAACTAAGTAAAAGAGCATGGAGAAACTATAGAAATAACAGGACACTTTAGAGTAGAGAAGGATATCAGAGCCAGGAATGAATACGTCAGGGTGAGAAGAGAGGCAGAAGGACAATATGAAAACGACATTGCAAGCAAGGCAAAGACTCAACCTATCAGGAGAAAGCCAACAGTGAAGGAACAGGTAATGAAACTGAGGATAGGGGCAGACAGATTCACTACAAACAGCAAAGTGTGAGGAACTCAATAAGAAATTCCAGGAAGTCTTCACAGTAGAGCAAGTAGTTGTTCCAGAGGTAAGAGGAGTAATAGTTAACCAGGCACCACTAGAGGAATTTGAGATTACCAGTAGGGATGTAAGGAAACATTTGCTAGAGTTGGATGTGACAAATACTATAGGCCCAGATGGAATCTCTCCATGGATACTAAAGGAAGGAGCAGAAGCACTGTGCCTGCCACTCTCCATGGTGTATAACAAATCACTGGTAACAGGCGAGCTGCCAAAATATTGGAAGACGGCAAACATAGTCCAGATATACAAGAAGGGGGATAGACAGGAGGCACTGAACTACAGGCCAGTGTCTCTAACTTGCATACCATGCAGGCTAATGGAGAAAATTGTGCGAAAAAAGCTAGTGGAACATCTGGAGCGAAGGAACTTCGTGACACAACACCAACATGGTTTCACGGATGGCAAGTCATGCCTCACAGGATTAATTGAATTCTACGATCAGGCAGCAAGAATCAGGCAAGAAAAAGAGGGGTGGGCAGATTGCATATTTTTGGATTTGCCAGAAAGTCTTTGACACAGTACCACACCAGAGACTAGTGAGAAAGCTGGAGATGCAGGCAGGAGTGAAAGGGAAGGTACTCAATTGGATAAGGGAGAACCTAAGCAACAGAAGACAGCAAGTCACTGTGAGGGGTCTTGGACTGGCGAGACGTCACCAGTGGAGTCCCGCAGGATTCAGTCTTTGGACCTATACTGTTTCTGATATTTGTAAATAATCTCCCAGAGGGTATAGAATCATTCCTCTCATTGTTTGCTGATGCAAAAATTGCGAGGAGGATTAAGACGGAGGAAGATAGTATGAAGCTTCATGATGACCTAAACAGACTGAATGAATGGTCCAATAAATGGCTACTAAAGTTCAACCCGAGTAAATGTAAGGTAATGAAATTAGGCAGTAGAAACAAGAGGCCAGACACAGGATACAGAATGGGAAAATGAAGTCCTTCATGAAACGGACAGAGAAAGATCTAGGAGTTGCTATCACGCCAAACCTGTCTCCCGAAGCCCAGATCAAAAGAATATCATCTGCGGCGTATGCGAGGCATCAGAACTGCCTTCAGGAACCTGTGTAAGGAATCATTCAGAACCTTGTATACCACATCTGTAAGATCAATCCTGGAGTATGCGGCCCCAGCATGGAGCCCGTACCTTGTCAAGCACAAGATGAAGCTGGAAAAAATTCAGAGGTATGCCACTAAGCTAGTCCCGGAACTAAGAGGCATGAGTTACGAGGAAAGGCTGCGGGAAATGCACCTTACGACACTGGAAGACAGAAGAGTAAGGATGTAACAGCCCCCTATGACCTTAGGCTGCAGATGGAACGGCATACAGAAGGGTCGCATGACAATGTGTTAGCCCACCAACAAGTGGCAAGGCGGGGTCCATGAGCTGAGGCTCAGCCCTACCAATACTATTAGGTAAGAATTATCAGGCATGAACATGCCCTGAACACCCCCCCCCCTCAGCAGAATATGATGAGTGAGACAGCTTTTAACAAGTACGTTATCAGCGTATTATGACGCAAAGTCGACCATATTTCCTCTTATCTCTCTGGCAGTGACGCAAGGCACTTTGACAGGCAAGTGGGCACCCCCCCCCCACCTATTGGGCACCCCCCACACCCCGTGGGCACCACCCCCACCCAGTGCGCACCCCCTGCACACAGTACGAAGGAACCCGTCCTCCCACTAATATACACGTCGTATATTTTACAAAACCGATCAATCCGTTAAAAAATGTGACGCATTAATACAAATTAAACCACCATAATATTGACGTTTCCGAAGCCTCGGCTCGATAGGTTAGGAGGGTTGTGCTTGGGTTCTCGTGCGTTTCTGGCTAGGCATTGCATTAATGCACATTGCATTACACAGCTGCATTGTTTACCGAGTGTCAAACAATGAGAGAAAGGGGCCTAACTGCAGGCCTTACTCACTATGTACTGTGCTATGGTACTGTATTATGTACTGTGTAGAAGGACTATCCCAGTGGACGGGGATAGGAGGCCATTTAGTTTTGCAATTTGGCATTGTTGATCAATATAGTGATCAAAGATCAGCGAGTGATCACTAACCGACTATTACACTGTGTAGTGGGGAACACACCGCCAATATTGTCCATGTACTCACATATAACCCGCCTAGTTGTACTTGCGGGGGGTTGAACTTCGGCTCTTTGGTCCCCGCCTTTCAACTGTCGATCAACTGGTGTACAGGTTGTGTGTGTATCTGTGTGACAGGACACTGAAGCAGGTTAGTTTGGCGTGAGGAGTAGTGGGGTGTACTGGGCATAACATGGGGGGTGTACTGGCAGCCCGAGGTGTAGGGTGTACTGTGGGTCATGTCTAAGGAAGGAAGGGGTGTAGTCGGTTGTGTTAAGAACAAAGGCTCAAGATCCGTCGAGGTCAGGAGGGAGCCTTGAGATGTTTCCGGTGGGGGGGGGGGGTGTTGGTGGTGGTGGTGGTGGGGGTGGTGGTGGTGATGATGATTGTGATGGTGGGGGTGATGGTGGTGGTGGTGGGGGGGGTTGGTAGTGTTGGTGGGGGGTGTTGGTGGTGGTGCTGGTGGTGGGGGGGGGGGGCGTTGGTGGTGGTGGGGGCGTTGGTGGGGGTGTTGGGGTGGTGGTGGGTGGTAGTGATGGTGGGGGTGGTAGTGGTGTTGGTGATGGGGGTGTTGGGGATGGAGGGTGGTGGAGGCGACTCCCAATTCTCGCATTTTAAGTCAGCCCGTCCTCCTAAGGTTCCCCAACGTTAAAAAAAACAGTCAATTTAAAGTGGACTCGCCTAACCTGCCAGAGGACCCAAAACAGAAAACGGAACAGTACGTCACTTTCGCCAGCCGCTTCGATTTTCTAGTACGACGATTTTTTGCCTTAAGTAACGCATATGATCAAAATTCGACGTTCTTTGTAAAACAGATTGTTTAAGTAGGACTGATTCCGATTTCTATAACCAACGACGTCTATGAGGTCTGAAATGTAGGTTTGATATTCCATAGAGTGTTTCCCAACCGAATTCTCTGACCGTTACCGTTACCTGTGGCAGGTGGCTACAGGTGACGGTTATTAGACCTTTCAGACCAGTTGGGATGAGGAACCAGGAGCTTTGCAATTAATTTATTCATTCTCGTATTCTTGAAGATATCCTCACAGTGTACCTAAAATTTGCCAGTGCAGGCTACTAAACACATGGCCCTGTATGACTAACCATCCTGCGAGATGGGGGCTTTTATTACCACTGCTGCCTTATTCACTCTTGTGTTGATGATATCCTCATAATGCACTCAGGGTCTGCCAGTGCAGACTGCCCATCACATGCCTCTGTATGACTAAACATCCTGTGTGATGGGGATTTTTTAGCATCACGTAGCTAGCTTCCCTTCACTTTCCTTCCCTTGCTCTGTACTTCCCTTCATATAGTCTAAGGGCAGCTGCACAAATGCACATGTACCTAAATGCGTTAATTTAAACAAAAATTATGCTGTCATCGACGTCGAATCACAGTCAACAACGGCGATTCGACATCGATCGCAGTGGTTCCATGTCGAAAATGTCGATGCCTCCTTACTCGAGCATGTTTTGCCTGCTGGGAGATGGAGCGAGAGGGAGAGAGGAAGAGCATGAAACAGAGACCTGGGCACCGCCTAATACATCTAACATGTATATGTATATATATATACATACCTGTCATTTTTCAGCATACAGGTTTGTCTTGGATCGAGTGGGTTAGGCATGTTTCAAGGAACGCTGCATGACCTTGCTTTATCACAGCTCCCTTTATATCTAATTTTGTATTTCCCTGTCTTCTGTTCCAGTCTGGAGGAACTGGAAGTCTTCCTCTCAAGGTGTTTAATTGTCTGCTCTGAAGATGTCCAAACGAGCCTAGAGCTGACGAGGTATTAATTCTGTTCTAATCTGTCTTTTAAGTTTAGTGTCCTGCTTTTGTTCCTAGGTTGTTATCTATGCGACATATACACCTGATATATCTTCATCAGTTATTTAACGTTATATATAAATTGTCTGTGAAACCGTTTCCTGCGTTCATATGTTCTTATAGTACTTCGAGGATGATGCAACAGGCAGCGGTGTGCACGGAGCCTGGCACACGGGGGTCGTGCACGGAGCCTGGCACACGGGGGTCGTGCACGGAGCCTCGTACACGGGGGTCGTGCACGGAGCCTCGTACACGGGGGTCGTGCACGGAGCCTGGCACACGGGGGTCGTGCACGGAGCCTGGCACACGGGGGTCGTGCACGGAGCCTGGCACACGGGGGTCGTGCACGGAGCCTGGCACACGGGGGTCGTGCACGGAGCCTGGCACACGGGGGTCGTGCACGGAGCCTGGCACACGGGGATCGTGCACGGAGCCTGGCACACGGGGGTCGTGCACGGAGCCTGGCACACGGGGGTCGTGCACGGAGCCTGGCACACGGGGGTCGTGCACGGAGCCTGGCACACGGGGGTCGTGCACGGAGCCTCGCACGCGGGGGTCGTGCACGGAGCCTCGCACACGGGGGTCGTGCACGGAGCCTCGCACACGGGGGTCGTGCACGGAGCCTCGCACACGGGGGTCGTGCACGGAGCCTCGCACACGGGGGTCGTGCACGGAGCCTGGCACACGGGGGTCGTGCACGGAGCCTGGCACACGGGGGTCGTGCACGGAGCCTGGCACACGGGGGTCGTGCACGGAGCCTGGCACACGGGGGTCGTGCACGGAGCCTGGCACACGGGGGTCGTGCACGGAGCCTGGCACACGGGGGTCGTGCACGGAGCCTGGCACACGGGGGTCGTGCACGGAGCCTGGCACACGGGGGTCGTGCACGGAGCCTGGCACACGGGGGTCGTGCACGGAGCCTGGCACACGGGGGTCGTGCACGGAGCCTGGCACACGGGGGTCGTGCACGGAGCCTGGCACACGGGGGTCGTGCACGGAGCCTGGCACACGGGGGTCGTGCACGGAGCCTGGCACACGGGGGTCGTGCACGGAGCCTGGTGTAACACTGTAAAAGTGTTTGGGTTAGTTTATTTAAAATACATACATAGAGTACATGAGTCACAGACAAGGATCGGAGAGGCGCCAGTTGTCTGCCTGAGATCTCACACCTCTAACCGTTAACGACCCCAAGTGACCTGAGGTCAGATCATGAGAATTTCACCTTGCTTCCGCTAAGCTCTTAATTGTAGTCTGGTAGCCTTCAAACAAGCCGACGTTTAAGGAGTGGCTTGGTAGTGCCGGAGGCTATCTACTTGTGGGCGGAGTTAGCTACTAGGTTCCCCAATAAATACTCGGAGAACTATCGAGCGGAAAGCATTAACAGACAGAGCAGCAGACGAGAGAGAGACGACGTCCCTACCAGGGAGGCTGTCGGCCGGCAGGGGCGAGACAGTCTCTGTCAACTACAGACCCCCCCCCTCTCTATTCAACTTAGACTCAGTCCTCGGTGAATGAACATTTAGGTGACTTGGTCGTGTTTTACAAGTGTTGTGTGATCAGGGGCAGTCAGTTGTAGTGCTCTCAGATTCTTGGATGATGACTCACTTTGCATATTAAACTGGAACATTTTAATTGAATTGCTAAATTATGATACTTCATGTGAAATATAATTATGAATTTATTATTTAAATTGTGTTTAACTTTGTTCCCTAGAGCTTTGAGTTGAGGATTTGAGAAAGCCTCTGTGGTTACTGGGTTTCATGATTTAATGAGTACATGTTTGGAGTTGATACATGGTAATAACATCTTTTGAGAATATTTTGATACAGGCAAGTTCCATTCCTTGTCTTGTATGTAATGATCATGAATGGATGGTGGCAGCATTTCGTCTTCTACTATCTACTCTTCTACTTCTACTATCTACTCTTCTACTTCTACCTATCTACACCTCTCCCTCCACCCTTCTCTAAACTCTCACTTTCAACTAATTGACCCTTCTCGCCCCTCCCACCTCCCTACCTCTCACCCCAAACCCTCACTAATTACTTCACTTTTCATTTCTTTCCTTTCGTTTCCTCTTATACGTTTGTGGCAATGACTCTGTATTCTAGAGTTCTCTCAAGAGTTTTCGGGTAACTGATCAAGTGACGGCGCCTTGTAGTCTTGGAACCTAGGTATTCCAATACCTAGGTTACAAGGTGTTGAACGAGAGAGGTTGCCTTAGGAACTCTGGGAGTGCTCTAGAATAGTTGGCTAACTGGGGACGGGATAACGGACTAGAGAGAGCTGTTTCCCCCGGCCTCGTTAGTTAACTGGGGGGGTGGAATAATGGACAAGATAGAGCTATTTCCCCCACCCCCCGTTACAATGATGGCAGCGGTGTTGAACAATGTTTAAGGTATTGGTGTTCTTTTAACATTGTTCAGTCCCACGTGTCTTTTTGCCGCTCAGGCGCTATCAGGGAGATCTTGACAGGTGTTTTACTTTCGCGATTTAGCGAGTTTTGTTCAGGTTAGGAGATAGTGATTCTCTGGTGTTGTGGTTTAGTGATTTTGTGAGTTTTGTGAAGTTCAGGGAATGTTCACCAGAACTTGCGTGTGTAGTGTTTTATGTTAGTGATAAGATTTGGCGATTTGGGAACTTAGCGGTGTTGGTAGTGCAGGTCAGCTGAGTGTGACAGGTGACCTCGCATGTCCCACGGGGACACCCAGCCACCGCTGGTCTCCAGGTCAGTGGGGAGTGGCAGGTGTAGTTCTTAAGTAGTTTTAAGTGGTGTTTCTGCTCAGATTATTGCGATCGACTGTTTTACTCCATTTGAACGCAATAACCGGAGGTGTACTGGTCTTGTACAGCATGCTAGGGGGAGGCTTAGTATGTCAGTAGACTTCACGTTGGGGACGCTCGACGTTAGATAGTCTGGTCACAGGGGTGGCAAAAGTTTTGAGTTGTTGACCGGCGGAGAAGCTAGGAAAACACTCTGGGTCACGTAGGTGGCTGTAGGTTAAGGGTGGGAGTAACGTTTAATTATGTACTTAAGATTAGGAACGGTACAGTTAAGTTAGGCTAGTGTTTTGTCTATTAGTGTTGATTTTTTTTTGTATGACAAGTTAAAAGTAGTGATGACCTTATTCTCTCTTCTCTAACTTTCCTCTGTTACTGTCTTATGTTCCACCAAGTCAATATCATTCAGAGTTAATTGAATTATTAAAAATTGAAGTGTAGTTGTTGCCAGGAGGAGAGCGTTATGATATGACTGTGTAACCCTATACAAACTACAGGGTCACACAAATATCTTGGGAGCACGATATTGTCGCCTTTCTGTTCACCCACAGGTGGGAGCCAGAAGAGAGGAGAGACGCACATACAAAAGAGGGAGACGGCTGCCTTATACCACACTCACGGCTGTTCCTCACCACCACCACGACCAGCCCACTACCTGGAGGTCATGGCTCCACCACCACCACCACCCCAGGGGACCCCAAGATGCAGCCCTCTCGGTCGGTCAACATTGGTCTACCCTGTGGACCCCAAGACGGACGGACCCCAGTGGACCCCAGGTCGTTCTGCAGACGAACCCAGACGACCCAGTAAAGATGGAAGAGGAGCAACAACGACTCCAGTCTGTCCCACCAACATCGGTCTACCCAGGTTGGACCCCAGGACGGACAGACCCCCAAATGGACCCCAGGTCACTTGTCTAAGACCCACGGGAGGAGGAAGAGAGAAGAAAGAAGAGAGAAGAAAGAAGAAAGAAGAAAGAAGAAAGAAGAAAGAAGAGAGAAGAAAGAAGAGAAGATAAGACAAGCTGAGTGAGACATGATACCTAGTGTCCCTTGCTGGTGTCAGCATCATTGCATGGAGCGTAATTGCAAGACAGGATCGTTTGCCTTGACTGGCCGCCCCTCCTACAAGCATGTTGCTCTGTTGAGTGATTCTTCCTGTGTCATGCGGACTTGATGTGGCTGTCAGAAGTAGCTCTCTGAAGGAGGCGTGCTGGAGCAACAGGGAGGAAGAAGAGTAGGATGGGATTTCTACTGTTGGCAACTATATGAAGGTCTCGAAACTTGTAGTCCCTATAGCTGTGAAGAACCCCAATATACGTCTCTCATGGTGACTGACGTAGGGCCAATTACAGATCAGCTGGGACAACCGAATTCCACGGTCCTGTGCTCAGTTCAAGTAGTAACGGCTTTCGGGTTGACCAAGTGTTGTTGTGCGTTAACGACGGAGAAGCGACAGAGGCAGTTGTGTTGAAGAAATGTGGTACAGGATTATCTACAAGACCAAGCAGTGACGTCGCCCAGCCAGAGACAATGGACGTCTGTCTATATATTTCATTTTTTTAGAGTAGGATGATGTATATTTGTTTAGCTAGGATGTATTCTTTTCGTTAATAAAGTTGTCGCACACAGCTAGCTTGCTTTAGCAGTGTTGCAAAAACTTTATTTTCGGGGAGAAGGGGAGATGTAACACTGTAAAAGTGTTTGGGTTAGTTTATTTAAAATACATACATAGAGTACATGAGTCACAGACAAGGATCGGAGAGGCGCCAGTTGTCTGCCTGAGATCTCACACCTCTAACCGTTAACGACCCCAAGTGACCTGAGGTCAGATCATGAGAATTTCACCTTGCTTCCGCTAAGCTCTTAATTGTAGTCTGGTAGCCTTCAAACAAGCCGACGTTTAAGGAGTGGCTTGGTAGTGCCGGAGGCTATCTACTTGTGGGCGGAGTTAGCTACTAGGTTCCCCAATAAATACTCGGAGAACTATCGAGCGGAAAGCATTAACAGACAGAGCAGCAGACGAGAGAGAGACGACGTCCCTACCAGGGAGGCTGTCGGCCGGCAGGGGCGAGACAGTCTCTGTCAAGCTACAGACCCCCCCCCCCTCTCTATTCAACTTAGACTCAGTACTCGGTGAGTGAACATTAAGGTGACTTGGTCGTGTTTTACAAGTGTTGTGTGATGATCAGGGGCAGTCAGTTGTAGTGTTCTCAGATTCTTGGATGATGACTCACTTTGCATATTAAACTGGAACATTTTAATTGAATTGCTAAATTATGATACTTCATGTGAAATATAATTATGAATTTATTATTTAAATTGTGTTTAACTTTGTTCCCTAGAGCTTTGAGTTGAGGATTTGAGAAAGCCTCTGTGGTTACTGGGTTTCATGATTTAATGAGTACATGTTTGGAGTTGATACATGGTAATAACATCTTTTGAGAATATTTTGATACAGGCAAGTTCCATTCCTTGTCTTGTATGTAATGATCATGAATGGATGGTGGCAGCATTTCGTCTTCTACTATCTACTCTACTACTTCTACTATCTACTCTTCTACTTCTACCTATCTACACCTCTCCCTCCACCCTTCTCTAAACTCTCACTTTCAACTAATTGACCCTTCTCGCCCCTCCCACCTCCCTACCTCTCACCCCAAACCCTCACTAATTACTTCACTTTTCATTTCTTTCCTTTCGTTTCCTCTTATACGTTTGTGGCAATGACTCTGTATTCTAGAGTTCTCTCAAGAGTTTTCGGGTAACTGATCAAGTGACGGCGCCTTGTAGTCTTGGAACCTAGGTATTCCAATACCTAGGTTACAAGGTGTTGAACGAGAGAGGTTGCCTTAGGAACTCTGGGAGTGCTCTAGAATAGTTGGCTAACTGGGGACGGGATAACGGACTAGAGAGAGCTGTTTCCCCCGGCCTCGTTAGTTAACTGGGGGGTGGAATAATGGACAAGATAGAGCTATTTCCCCCACCCCCCGTTACACTGGCACACGGGGGTCGTGCACGGAGCCTGGCACACGGGGGTCGTGCACGGAGCCTCGCACACGGGGGTCGTGCACGGAGCCTCGCACACGGGGGTCGTGCACGGAGCCTCGCACACGGGGTCGTGCACGGAGCCTCGCACACGGGGGTCGTGCACGGAGCCTCGCACACGGGGGTCGTGCACGGAGCCTCGCACACGGGGGTCGTGCACGGAGCCTCGCACACGGGGGTCGTGCACGGAGCCTCGCACACGGGGGTCGTGCACGGAGCCTCGCACACGGGGTCGTGCACGGAGCCTCGCACACGGGGGTCGTGCACGGAGCCTGGCGCACGGGGGTCGTGCACGGAGCCTGGCACACGGGGGTCGTGCACGGAGCCTCGTACACGGGGGTCGTGCACGGAGCCTCGTACACGGGGGTCGTGCACGGAGCCTCGTACACGGGGGTCGTGCACGGAGCCTCGTACACGGGGGTCGTGCACGGAGCCTCGTACACGGGGGTCGTGCACGGAGCCTCGTACACGGGGGTCGTGCACGGAGCCTCGTACACGGGGGTCGTGTACGGAGCCTCGTACACGGGGGTCGTGCACGGAGCCTCGTACACGGGGGTCGTGCACGGAGCCTCGTACACGGGGGTCGTGCACGGAGCCTGGTACACGGGGGTCGTGTACGGAGCCTCGTACACAAGACCCTGCGCAGTTGGTGTGTTGACATTTAAGCTTCCGCTGGACATCCGGTGATGATAACAGTGGCTGGTGTAAGCGCGGGGCTTCCGGCAACCTGTAGGTGGTTTCCGAGTGTTCTACATGACCTCGTGGCCCCCAGCAGTGTCCCCCAGGGAAGGTACTCTCCCAGGGTCAGCACACGCTATGGGTGCTCGGCTAGTCCTTCAATGTCACTCATCCTGTGAGTGGACACACCGCCATAGTGACAGTATTGGGCAGCGCCACTCACTCTGTGAGTGGACACACCACCATAGTGACAGTATTGGGCAGCGTCACTCATCCTGTGAGTGGACACACCGCCATAGTGACAGTATTGGGCAGCGCCACTCATCCTGTGAGTGGACACACCGCCATAGTGACAGTATTGGGCAGCGCCACTCATCCTGTGAGTGGACACACCGCCATAGTGACAGTATTGGGCAGCGACACTCATCCTGTGAGTGGACACACCGCCATAGTGACAGTATTGGGCACCGACACTCATCCTGTGAGTGGACACACCGCCATAGTGACAGTATTGGGCAGCGCCACCCATCCTGTGAGTGGACACACCGCCATAGCAGCATGTACAACACTCCCCAATAGGAAGAAAACCCGCTGGGTTGTTTAACCTTCCCCATTAACCCCATTACTCCACCTCGTGACTGCCCACACCTCCCCGTGATGCAGCTGGTGTCTTCACAGAAGCGGGAACTCACCGAGAAAAAAAAAAAACTTAAAGAGAGACTAACCAGCTTCCTGATTCACTCTTGTATGTGCTCCTCCCCTTCATCTCCCTCACAAACCCCTTCTTCCCCCCCCCTCCATCGACCCCCTATCCCCTCCCCCTCCATCAACCCCCCCCCCCCCATCGTCATCAGAGTGACCTTGGTAGTACAATAACGGACTGTCTGCTGTGAGCGCCTGTGATGCCTATTGTCTAATTTTTAAAGCGATTTCCCCTTCTCTGTTTTACTAAACAATATATCTGATACCTGGTTATTCAGCTGAATATTCTCGTGAGACACGAGTAAGACTGATGGCAATACATCAAGGAAGAAACTAAAAAAAAAATAGGTAAGATGAAACAGCGGAGAGTGGCGGCGTCTGGCAGCGGCGTGTGAGCATCATGGCGTACAATCACTTCCGGTCATTACTTCTTCTGATTTACCCAGTGGCCCGGTCATCAGCGGCGGGGGCCTGCACGTCCTGCAACACACCCTTCTTGCCTCTGGTGTGGCTCCTTCCGTTACCGGGCCTGCCAGCCTGCCTGTCAGCCTGCCTGTCAGCCTGCCTGTCAGCGGCTGTCAGCCTGCCTGGTGTTGCCGGGAGGTCAAGGTTATCTTGAGATGATTTCGGGGCTTTTAGTGTCCCCGCGGCCCGGTCCTCGACCAGGCCTCCACCCCCAGGAAGCAGCCCGTGACAGCTGACTAACAACCAGGTACCTATTTTACTGCTAGGTCACAGGGGCATAGGGTGAAAGAAACTCTGCCCATTGTTTCTCGCCGGCGCTCGGGATCGAACCCGGGACCACAGGATCACAAGTCCAGCGTGCTGTCCCCGAGCGGGCGAGCGAGTGTTGCAATTATTTCCTGTTCTCTTCAGTTGACACCGCTGTAGGTCGTTCATGCTCACGGATATTTCAACATAAACATAAGATAAATAAATATTTTGTTGGACAAAAAAAAAAAAAAAAAAAAAAAAAAAAAAAAAAAAAAAAAAATCGCGAGCAAATATTAGGTTATGCTTAAACTGATGTCAGTGTTGCCAGACCTAAGCATTATGCTGCTGTGTTTATAATAATTATATATATATATATATATATATATATATATATATAATTATATATATATATAATATAATATATATATATATATATATACACAATTATATATGAGGCTAAAATGGTCCTCAAGTGTAAACCGATGATAGGCCGCCTCCACTTTTAACAAATATTCTTACGCAACCAGACTTGAACCGAAGACAATGTTGCTAAACTTCGAATACTGATATAGTTACACAATAACTAGTGTGTCTAATTGCTGCTAGTGATAACATTGCGGATCACTGATGCTAGGTAAATTGTGTGTATGTGTGTGTGTTAAACTGAACCTTCTCTATTGTTCACGTACACCAGTCTATTGAGAGTCGGAACCAGAGAACTGAACTTCAACACCCCCCCTCCCCACACACCACAAGCACAATTAGGCGACTTCAACGACACGAGACGTTCTTGGTACAAGTGGCAGGATGAACAACCACAAGTCCTGGTTAATGGAACCCACCTGCGTCTGGGTACAAATGACACAATGAACAATACCGCTGTGTGTGTGTGTGTGTGTATGGGGTGTGTGTGTATGGGGTGTGTGTGTATGGGGTGTGTGTGTGTGCTACTGAAGCAGTCGCAGTTGCCGTACTGTTAAGTTATTTCCAACGACATGCTATTATCTATATCGAAAAAAAATAATGTCGAAAGTTTGAGGTCAGACCCATATGAGGCTATTCACACAAATGTTTATTTTTTTGTTAAAGATTAAACAAGGCTATGACTGTGATTGTCTTAAGATAACAGGGGTTGGTCACACTCCCCCCCCCCACTTACAGAAATACTGGCTCTTTGGATGAAGTCTGAAATTGGGGTATTTGGTGTCAGTATGTTTTTTAGCAATTGTTAAAAAGAATAAAAGGTATTCAGAGAAGACCCTTTATGTAAAACTGTTTCACATCTGAAACAGTAGAACGTAAACCCCTAATGTTATACATTATTATATCCTTTCAACAACTAATATTTGGTCTCATTATTAATCCTCATGCCTTTTGCAGGCGATGAGTCACAATAACGTGGCTGAAGTATAACGTGGCTCTCCTTCGGTGGTTATAATAGGAGCTGCCTCGTATGGGCCAATAGGCCTGCTGCAGTTCTCATTACTACTATCCTCTACACCTGACTTTCCTCCTCAGCTCTCTCTTGCCTATTTAATGCCTGTCCCTACCTGTCCTCATCACAATCGACTTGAGAATGGTCCAGGACGGACCGAAACGTCGTCGTCCCTTCAATTTCTAGTGTGTGGTCTGGTCCTCATGCCTTTCTATCCATGCAAAAAAACGTAATCACAATGAACCACAATTATTGTATTTCCCCTGCATTTTATGTAAATAATTAACAATAATACTCATTAAAGCAACGATGCTGTATTTAGTAACATATATAATTTCTCTTAAGTTGGCAGTGTCAGAATATATATTTACAGTTATTGTCTTAGGGCACAAGGGGCGAAGTTAACTGCCATCGCCACTCATTTGACAGGAAGCCTGATGCGATAAAGTAATCAATACGCGCCTTTCACAAATACAAAACTTGTCGATTTGAAGCTGACTGGTTTGTAAATCTCTCACTCCCTCACGACGAGGATATTGACGACCCAATTAGCCAGCAAAATGATAGAGAAATATGCTATAGGATTGATATGACCCAATGGTAAACAAGTGAACAATTATATAACAATACAAGCAGATACTAGAGTGTTCAACAGCACACTGTAGGACGGTTTCCGTGTGCTGGTGACGAGTCTAGCAAATGCTGGTCAAAAAGGTGTAAATAGCACATTTTCTCGCCTTTAGCTTAGAATGCGTGAGATATCCGCTGGTCCGTGTGAAAGCGTGAGAAGAGGACGCTGTTCATCTCTCATGCTCAACACGCGAGAACTGCAAGCTCAGAAATTTCACCGCTTGAGATGTTAAAGTGATGCATTAGTAGTAGCAGTAGGAGCTGTTGGCAGTAATGACTCACTCGGGCCAGCACTTTCTGCAGGCAACCCGTTCTCGCACTTGCTTATAGTCAATATGTTGCTTATGAATAAGTGCATGTGAGACATACTAATTTATTGTGAATATTTGAGTTTACCCTGAAAAGCTGACTAGAAAACTACAACCTAACCTAACCTCCTTAGTATGTTAAGATATTACAATTAGTACTGAACCTATACCTATATTGATACAGTTTTATAAAAATAAAATATCTAAATAAATTGTAAAGTAATTCAGGATATTGTCAAATTTTTCTGTTTTAGTCGCTGCTTCTTTAGGCGTCACACACACACACACACACACACACACCTGCCCTACCCCCCCCCCCCCCCACCACCACCACCCTTTTAAAATGAAAGTACAATCCACAGAAAACGTGAATGTTTGAACCATTGCTTTTCGTAACAGCCTGCATGTGTAACATTGGTTACAATAACTTATGAAACGCTACCTATTACTTGAGATAGGGCAGGTTGCTATACAAGATACACGCTTCATAACCCCCCTACCCACAAGTCACCCAAACGGGGGAACCAATGTAACAGATTAGCAAAGTTTAGATTTAGACAAGATAGTTTCAAATGACTGCATTATATATCCATCCTGAATGCAGAGAACAACTCTCAATGCCATGGCTAAAAATGAATACAAGTGACGACGTTTCCGGCTAGTCCTTGAGGTTATCTTGAGATGATTTCGGGGCTTTTTAGTGTCCCCGCGGCCCGGTCCTCGACCAGGCCTCCAACCCCAGGAAGCAGCCCGTGACAGCTGACTAACACCCAGGTACCTATTTTACTGCTAGGTAACAGGGGCATAGGGTGAAAGAAACTCTGCCCATTGTTTCTCGCCGGCGCCTGGGATCGAACCCAGGACCACAGGATCACAAGTCCAGCGTGCTGTTCGCTCGGCTCCCTGACCAAGCTTCCGGCTCGTCTAGGATCCCCTGACCACCAGGTATTAGATAATGATCCACGAGGCCAGAAGCGACTCTACTTCCCTCATCTATCTAAAGAGCGCCACCACAGGTTCACCTCCAGGAGGGAGCAAGATGGAGACGCAGTGTTTTACACAAAATCACTTTCTCCATTTATTTTAACTATTTTAGCGAAATTAAGCAAGGTAACGGTAGATTTAGAGCGCTGGCACATTGTTTCCCCTGGGAATGGAGCGTTTTGTTCATCCTAGAGCAGGTGGTGTGCGTAACACTCGGGGGTCAAGCGAGGGAACACACAGGACCAAGAGCAGGAACACACGGGGTGTCAAGCGTAAGTTCCCAGAAGCAGGTCTGGAGGCAAGAGTGGTGTTTTACAACAAGAGAAATAAACTAGGGGTCGAAGCTGCAGAGGCAAGTGCGTGCGTGCGTGTGTGTGCGTGTGTGCGTGTGTGCGTGTGTGTGTGTGTGTGTGTGTGAGAGAGACTACCTCACCATCTCAACACCGCTCGCAGCATCACCATTCATCACCTTCACTAAAGTTTCTTGATCGATATCCCCCTCAGTAAATGTTGCACTTCGGGCACCGAATGTTAGAGGACGTGTCGGACAAAATGATCAGGTGACATGCTGGCACTACGTCCGTGAGGCGACAGATGCTGGCACTACGTCCGTGAGGTGACAGATGCTGGCACTACGTCCGTGAGGTGACAGATGCTGGCACTACGTCCATTTTGGACTGTTAGCAACATCCCTCACGCCGGGGCTACAACCTGTTGATCGGTGCTCCTGTTGGTTGACAATCCACACTGGAGCGGTGTGTGTGTGTGTGTGTGTGTGTGTGTGTGTGTGTGTGTGTGTGTGTGTGTGTGTGTGTGTGTGTGTGTGTAAGTAGACCTGTACAACAAGGTAATCTTTGTCAAATGATATATCTATGATCATCAATATTCAACGAGGAAACCTAGTGAAGGCTATATTGAGGGCATAAAGGGTTGAGTCACATAATTAATAACCCCCAGAGACCCACCCACACCCGGAGGAAACCCATGCGAACCCGGACCCGGCTTACCGGATCACCCCACGCCCCCGGAGAGAGAGAGAGAGAGAGAGAGAGAGAGAGAGAGAGAGAGAGAGAGAGAGAGAGAGAGAGAGAGAGAGAGAGAGAGAGAGAGAGAGAGAGAGAGAGAGAGAGAGAGAGAGAGAGAGAGAGAGAGAGAGAGAGAGAGAGAGAGAGAGAGAGAGAGAGAGAGAGAGAGAGAGAGAGAGAGAGAGAGAGAGAGGAGAGAGAGAGAGAGAGAGAGAGAGAGAGAGAGAGAGAGAGAGAGAGAGAGAGAGAGAGAGAGCGACAGAGAAAGCAAGAGACAGCGACAGAGCGAGCAAGAGAGCAACAGAGAGAGAGAGGGGGCGGGGGAGGGGAGGGGGTCGTCGCAGCCGGGCAGTTCCTGGGAGACTGAAGGTGGAGGAAGCCCGCGGTGATTCACCAAGCCTCGCAGTGAACCTAGATCCGTCGGCAGTTCCGCTGCCTCAATACCGGAAACAAGTGAGCGAGGACCTTGATAACGATAGCGAGGGAAGGGGGGGGGGGCGCCTCCTGCCTGCCTGCCTGCCTGCCTGACTGTCGCTTCTCCAACATTAACTAACCGCGCGTCTGCTGCCCAACTCTGATTGTTGAACACATGTTGCACAATTACGTTGATTGAGATGTAAAAGGAACAATATTACTCACCGTTGACCAGACCACACACTAGAAGTTGAAGGGACGACGACGTTTCGGTCCGTCCTGGACCATTCTCAAGTCGATTGTTACTCACCGTTGTTGACTTTTAACATTTAAATCCAAGAATGATTTGACAGTCTGACAAAATCATTAAATAAATTAAGTTACATTTCCCCCTGTCCACTGACCACGTGATGACTGTCCACGTGATGACTGTCCACGTGATGACTGTCCACGTGATGACTGACCACGTGATGACTGACCACGTGATGACATCTCGCCCCATCCCCCCCACCCCCTTTACCACTCCCTTCCCCCACCCCCACTACTCCCTTCTCTCCCCACCTCCCCGTAACTCACCAAGGCCGCCATATACGAGCATCAGAATTAATAAGAATTAAATGTTTAAAATAAGATTTTTAATGCGATTTACTTTGTATTACGCGTCAATGACACAAACCAGACGAGCGCCTTTTGCCATTTCTTGGACGCCAATATAAATCCGGAATTAAATTCAACGATTTAACGATACGAGAGAGGAGGGGGCGGGGGAAAAATTAAAGATGCCCAATCACTTGGACGATCGGGGATTGAACGCCGACCTGCATGAAATGCTCTCCCGTCGAATGAGAGTTGTCGTGGAATAATAACGTAATGCGTACATTGTTGCTTTTCAACTATGGTCATCCTTTGATAATGGCAATTGAAGAGAAAACTTTTTTATTGACAATTGAAAAGGCAGACAACCCACTAGTGGCGATAGCAAGAACAACGGAAGTAACGGACTACTGAATTATTTTTTCCACGATTCTCAAAGTAATAACGACGGGCCTCACCTGAGCCATAGCCGGATATACGAGGTTCAGGACGCCGTGTGGCGCCATGCACGAGGCATCTATCATAGCCGGATAACATGATTAAGAAGGCAGGGATCAAGCCGAGGAATCTGTCATAGCCGGATACAATGGCTCGTCACTCGTGTGAGGCAATACTCACCCTCGCCTGACGAGGCATGAGTAACACGCCACGCCGGAAATCGATCCCTCCTGGTTTTAACTACCAGTTCTCAGGACGCGTACCGGTGTGAGTCACATTGTTGATGTATTGGTGGTGGATCACAGGCGTCGACATGCCGCCGTGGTGGTGGATCACAGGCGTCGACATGCCGCCGTGGTGGTGGATCACAGGCGTCGACATGCCGCCGTGGTGGTGGATCACAGGCGTCGACATGCCGCCGTGGTGGTGGATCACAGGCGTCGACATGCCGCCGTGGTGGTGGATCACAGGCGTCGACATGCCGCCGTGGTGGTGGATCACAGGCGTCGACATGCCGCCGTGGTGGTGGATCACAGGCGTCGACATGCCGCCGTGGTGGTGGATCACAGGCGTCGACATGCCGCCGTGGTGGTGGATCACAGGCGTCGACATGCCGCCGTGGTGGTGGATCACAGGCGTCGACATGCCGCCGTGGTGGTGGATCACAGGCGTCGACATGCCGCCGTGGTGGTGGATCACAGGCGTCGACATGCCGCCGTGGTGGTGGATCACAGGCGTCGACATGCCGCCGTGGTGGTGGATCACAGGCGTCGACATGCCGCCGTGGTGGTGGATCACAGGCGTCGACATGCCGCCGTGGTGGTGGATCACAGGCGTCGACATGCCGCCGTGGTGGTGGATCACAGGCGTCGACATGCCGCCGTGGTGGTGGATCACAGGCGTCGACATGCCGCCGTGGTGGTGGATCACAGGCGTCGACATGCCGCCGTGGTGGTGGATCACAGGCGTCGACATGCCGCCGTGGTGGTGGATCACAGGCGTCGACATGCCGCCGTGGTGGTGGATCACAGGCGTCGACATGCCGCCGTGGTGGTGGATCACAGGCGTCGACATGCCGCCGTGGTGGTGGATCACAGGCGTCGACATGCCGCCGTGGTGGTGGATCACAGGCGTCGACATGCCGCCGTGGTGGTGGATCACAGGCGTCGACATGCCGCCGTGGTGGTGGATCACAGGCGTCGACATGCCGCCGTGGTGGTGGATCACAGGCGTCGACATGCCGCCGTGGTGGTGGATCACAGGCGTCGACATGCCGCCGTGGTGGTGGATCACAGGCGTCGACATGCCGCCGTGGTGGTGGTGGTGGATCACAGGCGTCGACATGCCGCCGTGGTGGTGGATCACAGGCGTCGACATGCCGCCGTGGTGGTGGATCAAAGTGTCGATATGTCGCTGTTGTCATATCCACGTGAAGCTTGATTAATATACTTTAATACAATAAGATCATACTGTGCTCTTGTGTTCAAGAGCTCTTGAACTCTGCTCTTGTGTTCAATAAACACCGTGGCAGGTGTCTGACCGCTTGAACACTTGACAGGTGTTTACAACAACAGTCAACAGGATTTGATCACAATGAAATGCTTTTACCCCGTCACTTTCTCCGCGCGAAAAAAAGAAAAACAAAACACTTTCTGAAACGTCATCTGAGAATTATTGTCCCCCTCCCCCCCCCTTGTCTTGAAATTTTCAGCGCCTTTTTAAGCCATTTGTGAAGTGGGTTTACGAGCACTGGCTTTGGACCACGACTCTTCAAGCCCTCACGAATCAACTTACGAAACCTGTGCACCTTTCCTCTTTATTCAAGAGTTTAAGAGCTGGACGACGTTGCGAGGAAGCTCTCAGAACCTCTTGTTATGGGACAGTCTCGTAGCCCTCAGGAGCTTGTAAATGTTTTAATAAAGTCAAGTCTACATCATTAAGATGAACTGGTTTCGTTCGTGGCAACGTAAATGCCCGTATTTCTAACACTAGTGTTCTACATCACCCTGGATGTCCCATCACAATTTCCATTGCTGTAATAATTTTCTTAACTGCATCTATTATGAATCGAACCATAACGTGTGTGGCATCTAACACCACAAAGTTGTACTAAATGCGTTGTAAATTGATATATAATATATAGATATATATATGTATTTATATATATATAAATATATATTTATATATATAAATATATATATATATATAAATATATATAAATATATAAATATATATATATATATATATATATAACTGAAAACTCACACCCCAGAAGTGACTCGAACCCATACTCCCAGAAGCAACGCATCTGGTATGTACAAGACGCCTTAATCCACTTGACCATCACGACCGGACATAATGAGGTGATAGCCGAGGCTATATGAACCACCCCACCGCCGGCACTCGGATAGTTATCTTGGGCATAGCATTTTACCAAATCACCTCATTCTTTGGGGCACACGTGAGGAACACAAATGCGAACAAGCCTGAATGGTCCCCAGGACATATGCAACTGAAAACTCACACCCCAGAAGTGACTCGAACCCATACTCCCAGAAGCAACGCATCTGGTATGTACAAGACGCCTTAATCCACTTGACCATCACGACCGGACATAATGAGGTGATAGCCGAGGCTATATGAACCACCCCACCGCCGGCACTCGGATAGTTATCTTGGGCATAGCATTTTACCAAATCACCTCATTCTTTGGGGCACACGTGAGGAACACAAATGCGAACAAGCCTGAATGGTCCCCAGGACTATATGCGAATGAAAACTCACACCCCAGAAGTGACTCGAACCCATACTCCCAGGTATATATATATATATATATATATATATATATATATGCGAACAAGCCTGAATGGTCCCCAGGACATATGCAACTGAAAACTCAGGCTTGTTCGCATTTGTGTTCCTCACGTGTGCCCCAAAGAATGAGGTGATTTGGTAAAATGCTATGCCCAAGATAACTATCCGAGTGCCGGCGGTGGGGTGGTTCATATAGCCTCGGCTTTCACCTCATTATGTCCGGTCGTGATGGTCAAGTGGATTAAGGCGTCTTGTACATACCAGATGCGTTGCTTCTGGGAGTATGGGTTCGAGTCACTTCTGGGGTGTGAGTTTTCAGTTGCATATGTCCTGGGGACCATTCAGGCTTGTTCGCATATATATATATATATATATATATATATATATACCTGGGAGTATGGGTTCGAGTCACTTCTGGGGTGTGAGTTTTCATTCGCATATAGTCCTGGGGACCATTCAGGCTTGTTCGCATATGTATTTATGTATATATTATATATTATGCTGAGGGTGCTGGTCTCTTGAGGAGACGTTAACAACCGTTCAGATCTCAACCCGTCCTCCTAATAGGTTAAGTATGCGTCAAAATGCGACTTCCTAAGGGCAAAAATCGTCGTGCTAAAAAATGGAAGTGGGTTCGGAAGATTGACATACTGTTCCGTTTTCTGTTTTGGGTTGTGTGGTAGGTTAGGAGAGGGCTATTTAGTACGACAGTTCCTTGATGGTGGTAAACCGTAGGAGGACGGGCTGCAAATCAACAGTTCAGATCCTTCGTCATTGTGTGACTGTAGATGTGAGCAGCATTACAAGTGGTGTAATAACTAATTACTGAATCACTCCCATTAGACAAAACTATACAATTTTTGTCAAAGGTGTTTAGTTCATTCATTGGAGGTAGTGGACCCCCATACCCATCCTGTGGGCGGTAGTGGACCCCCCCCATACCCATCCTGTGGGCGGTAGTGGACCCCCCCCATACCCATCCTGTGGGCGGTAGTGGACCCCCCCATACCCATTCTGTGGGCGGCAGTGGACCCCCCCATACCCATCCCGTGGGCGGCAGTGGACCCCCCCCCCATACCCATCCCGTGGGCGGCAGTGGAACCCCCCATACCCATCCCGTGGGCGGCAGTGGAACCCCCCATACCCATCCCGTGGGCGGCAGTGGACCCCCCCATACCCATCCCGTGGGCGGTAGTGGACCCCCCATACCCATCCCGTGGGCGGCAGTGGAACCCCCCATACCCATCCCGTGGGCGGTAGTGGACCCCCCATACCCATCCCGTGGGCGGCAGTGGACCCCCCCATACCCATCCCGTGGGCGGCAGCGGACCCCCCCCATACCCATCCCGTGGGCGGCAGCGGACCCCCCCATACCCATCCCGTGGGCGGCAGTGGACCCCTCCCATACCCATCCCGTGGGCGGCAGTGGACCCCCCCATACCCATCCCGTGGGCGGCAGTGGACCCCCCCATACCCATCCCGTGGGCGGCAGTGGACCCCCCCATACCCATCCCGTGGGCGGCAGTGGACCCCCCCATACCCATCCCGTGGGCGGCAGTGGACCCCCCCATACCCATCCCGTGGGCGGCAGTGGACCCCCCCATTCCCATCCCGTGGGCGGCAGTGGACCCCCCCCCCCATACCCATCCCGTGGGCGGTAGTGGACCCCCCATACCCATCCCGTGGGCGGTAGTGGACCCCCCATACCCATTCCGTGGGCAGCAGTGGACGCCCCATACCCATCCCGTGGGCGGCAGTGGACCCCCCATACCCCATCCCGCAGGCGGCAGTGGACCCCCATACCCATCCCGTGGGCGGCAGTGGACCCCCCATACCCCATCCCGCAGGCGGCAGTGGACCCCCCATACCCATCCCGTGGGCGGCAGTGGACCCCCCATACCCATCCTGTGGGCGGTAGTGGAAAAGGTTACAGAGGCACATAATAGGTTCATTACCTAAAGCCATAAAAACCTTTGGCTTAGCAAGTGGCAGTCTTGATAAGCAAGTTACTTCATATATACTGAACCTGCGTTTTGATAATTCCCAAACACCCACTTAGCCACGATGGGACAAAAGCTAATCACCCCCCTGAACACCGATTCGGGCTTCCAGAACCTTCCAGCGAGTTCGGCCGAGTTCCGGGTAGATTGTCGATTACCTTTTGGCCAAGGCAGGTGTCTGTAAATCACCAGAAACGTCGGTTCAAGTCACCTCATTGCCCCAAAACCATCCTCAACCACCTTCCTAACCATCTCTAGACAGCTTATTACTAATAGTTATAATTTAGTGACCGACACCCACTCCATGACCACCACAGCTACAAGGGGGGGGGGGGGGGGGCGCGGTAAGGTAATATAGGAACCAGCAAAAACCATTTATGAATTTATTACTCTGCCATAATAACAATAAAGCCAGTATCGGAAATTGCGGCGTTGAGGTATGCGGAATATTAATAGTAATTATAAGAGTGTTTTAATTAATGGCGATATTACAGGGTGGTGGGGGAGAACACGTGTTACAGGTGTGGTGGAGAACACGTGTTACAGGTGTGGTGGAGAACACGTGTTACAGGGTGTGGTGGAGAACACGTGTTACAGGGTGTGGTGGAGAACACGTGTTACAGGTGTGGTGGAGAACACGTGTTACAGGGTGTGGTGGAGAACACGTGTTACAGGGGTGGTGGAGAACACGTGTTACAGGGGTGGTGGAGACCACGTGTTACAGGGGTGGTGGAGACCACGTGTTACAGGGGTGGTGGAGACCACGTGTTACTGGGGTGGTGGAGAACACGTGTTACTGGGGTGGTGGAGAACACGTGTTACAGGGGTGGTGGTGGAGAACACGTGTTACAGGGGTGGTGGAGAACACGTATTACAGGGGTGGTGGAGACCACGTGTTACAGGGGTGGTGGAGACCACGTGTTACAGGGGTGGTGGAGACCACGTATTACAGGGGTGGTGGAGAACACGTGTTACAGGGTGGTGGAGAACACGTGTTACAGGGGTGGTGGAGAACACGTGTTACAGGGTGGTGGAGAACACGTGTTACAGGGGTGGTGGTGGAGAACACGTGTTACAGGGGTGGTGGTGGAGAACACGTATTACAGGGGTGGTGGTGGAGAACACGTGTTACAGGGTGGTGGAGAACACGTGTTACAGGGTGGTGGAGAACACGTGTTACAGGGGTGGTGGAGAACACGTGTTACAGGGTGGTGGAGAACACGTGTTACAGGGGTGGTGGAGAACACGTGTTACAGGGGTGGTGGAGAACACGTATTACAGGGTGGTGGTGGAGAACACGTATTACAGGGGTGGTGGTGGAGAACACGTATTACAGGGTGGTGGAGAACACGTATTACAGGGTGGTGGTGGAGAACACGTATTACAGGGGTGGTGGTGGAGAACACGTATTACAGGGGTGGTGGTGGAGAACACGTACTACAGGGTGGTGGTGGAGAACACGTATTACAGGGGTGGTGGAGAACACGTATTACAGGGGTGGTGGAGAACACGTATTACAGGGGTGGTGGAGAACACGTATTACAGGGGTGGTGGAGAACACGT